AACAATAACAACAATAGTAATAATAATAATAATAACAATAATAGTGGTAATACTAATAATAATAATAATAATAATACTAGTAGTAGTAGTAATATTAATAATAATAATAATAATAATAATAATAAAGAAAAAGATGAAGATGAAGATGAAGATGAGAACTTTGAGATGAAATATTAACGTAAAAATTTAACAACGATAACAATAAATGTCAAGGTTAGAGGATCCACTAATGGTATGTCAAACAAGTATAGTATAAACTTTTACTAGTTTATTGGAAACCACACACAAAGGAGGTTCCAATTAGATGATAGATTGTTAACATGATTACATTAGTCATCTTATTCGATTAATGCTAATACTTGTAAATCTCGTCAAGCATTCATGATTATAACTTATGTCAACAACAAATCAAGTTCCTTTCATAGCTCAGGTGTCGGTTATACCATACAGTATGGGCTATGAAAGTGCCAAGCATTTGTTGTACCAAGTGTTATACAACATAAATCAAGATTAGTCATTTAACAAGCAAAGTATTAAAGAGTGAACAAGATAACAAATACAAAACATGTTAGTATCAAACATTAAAGTCCATATTAAGTTTACACTATACTTATTCTTACACCATTAGTGTAGCCTTTTCACCTTGACATAATAAACTTAGCTAGACATAATGAAAGAAAGAAAAATAAATAAATAAAATAAAAACATAAATAAGATAAGAGTTAATTAAGTAAAGGAAAAGAAATGAAATGCATAAACTTGATATTAATAAAAGCAAAGCATAAACATTACAAAAAATACAAAGAGAGAAAGGAAGAGCATGATCTTGATCTGGAAACCAAGATGCCTAAAGGCATGGCAAATACCTCCTTTTATAGGCCAAAATTGGGAACTATTGATTTGATGACTAATTGATAAGTGGGTGGCCAACTTTTGACTTGGTGACAATCCTTATCTTCTCTTGTCTGCCCAAAACGTCATTGATAACGTCAAAATTGGAGTCACTTGAAAACATGAAAGTTGTAGGCAATTATCTCAACTTTCTTGTGTAAAACATTCAGCTCATTTGGACTTCTAGAACTCCATATATGGCCAAAATACTGAACAGTGCTCGGGCTGGAGGATAGCTTCGAGCTTCTTTGTTGTTGCAATAATTTGGACTTGAAAATGGCCTTTTTAGATCTTGAGCTCCATATGAAAGTTGTAGGCCTATGTCTTACCTTTCCATCCATATAAAGTAGACCTAAATCTGAGATCTATAGCTCCAGATATGACCCAATTACTGAATAGTGTTCCGGTTTGGATTGCACCGACATCTCTTTTCTAATTTTGGTCATCTCTTTGCCCTTGCAATTTAAGTTCTTAAAGTCATCAATCAATCCTTTCATTTATGTGATAGGCCTGCATTTAAAATGAACATTTACCACAAATTAAAGGTATCTTATATTATTAGATATATTATTATAAAACATGCTTTAGTTAAGGAGTTATTGATACTTCAAGTGCAAAATGATGATATAAAACCATGATAAAAATGCACTTTTAAGTACTAATCATCTTTCAAAAGAAAATAAAAGTTGAATCATAAATGATGTCATCTACAAGAAATATAATAATGGACTATGATGAATGAAACACTGGAAGTTAAGATTGGAAAGTATTCTAATATAATAACAAGATGAGTCCAAGATGATTGAACAACCTTTGATATGTGAAACATGAATTAGTTGATAACTTGAGATCTCTTAGTATAAGGAAGACTCTGCCAAAATTTTGATAAAAATATCATCAATTTCATGAGGAATATATGTAATATTCAAAACTAAAAAATGATAAGCAAAATGATAATGTAAGGTTTTGGCTTAATGACATGACCAAAAGAATGATGTCTTCTCCCAAGTGTAGGAGTGTTGAAGTAATAAATAACCC